TGCTTCTCAACTAGATGGCCGCTTGTTTATCTGCAAGTCTTTAAGACCCAAGACGCTATATCTTTTGGTAGCTGGGCACCATCAGGTTTCTTCACTACATTTGCTTATGTACACATTTGTCTTAAGCGATCATGTCGGGAAGGTGTGCACGTTGGAATGCCAATTTAATAGAACAACATGTTCTTGCACTGAGTAAGTAACTTGAGTGGAGGCCCAATGTCCATCTGCTGCCTTAATACTAAACCTATAAATATATGCACGTAGATCTATTTCCCCACCATCCTGTATAAATATATTTACATATGTACGTGCTTGTATTTGGGCCTCTATAAATACCCTTTGTCACCTAGTTCTTTCCTCTATTCCCTTTTACTTTCCTCTTGTCCCACTATCATGCTCAGCCTTCATTTGCATTTCAGTAATTTCTCTCGGTTACATTGCCCTTGCTGAATCCCTACCAGGACTCTCATACCCTCCTTGCCACTAATTTTGGATCACTTGTTGCTCCCCTGTCCCTGGGTTGGTCCATACCACCTCCTTACCCCCGCCACCACCTCTCCCATGTCCCCCGGCAACCATTGGTTCTGTTGATTTCTCCTCCAGACTATTCATCCGGCCTATCTTATCTAGATAGATCTACCAGTTTTCTGGTCTGGTAGCAGGAGCTCTGGACGGGTGAGTCCTATCGAGTCCCCAGTTTCCCCCAGTTTTCGTGATTTGTATTTTCATCAAGCCCTCTCCATACTTATTTATCAAATTGCTGATAGGATGATATTATTGTCACTCTGCAATTTGTCTTAGGTTGCTAACTCTAGTTAGTACACTGATAAAATTTCACCAGTTTTTTTTTTTCTAATTTGAGAAGCTTTTCAGTTAACTCTAAGAAGAGAAACTTCAATTAATGTAGGGGGGAAAAGGTTTCAAAATATTTTATTTTCTCATTTTAATTTATACATGTGTATTAACATATAAATAAGAAAAATTTTGGAGGTTCTGCATCAAACGTTAATGGGCATCTATTTTAGGTTTTTTATATTTTGGTGGATTTTCTGTTACTGTTAACTGTACTTTCAGGTTTTTTGTAGTGAACTATTTGTCATTAAACAAATAAATAAGGAAATATCTTTTAAATTATAGATATGAAAAGACCCTGACTCGGTTGCATGTCACATATGAAGGTACTATAGAAGGAAACGGTAGAGGCATGCTACAGGTAGGTGAATAATGTATGAATAGCAATGTGTTTGGTATATTATCATGTCAAGCTTCTGGAAGCAAAGGAAATTTTAAAAGGTGTTTTGTCATCTGAACTTACTTGATGCAAACAAGTATAATAGAAGAATGGAGAAAAACACCAAACAAACGATTTTGACAGCTTCAGTAATATTATTTGCCAGTGCACGTTCTCTGCTTCTCACATGTGCATCTTTGAAAAAACCTTTGACAGATAACCCAAGATCTGGACAGCATTAAGCCTCTTGGTTCAAACAACAATTGTAGATTGACAGTGAAAGTAGTTCCCAGGGTATTGTCTTGACAAGCTGTCACCGGGCATTTTTGTTCTTTTTCTTTAAATATTCTTGTTCTGCCTCAAATGATGACCAGGTTCAGATATTTTCCTGCTACCTACAGCCTTATGAAGTCTCGAAGTCAAGCATCTAGGACTGATCGATTTTAAAAAGGCATTCCATTTAAACAGCTTGTTTTAGGCATGTGAGTCAACTATATTTGCTAATGTAATTTCCTACTTTTAGATCAAGTAGTTTTGCTCACCCTTCAAATTTTGCTACTAATTTATATTATTTATGAAGCAATTATATTGTTTTGACAAAAACATATATTTTTGGAAAAAGAGGTTAACAAACATTTTGTGTACCTAGCTTTTAAAATATATACTGCAAAGGACTTTATTAAAGTGTTAAAAAGCAAAGACAGCTCTTCGAAGACTAAGACCTAACCTTTACTATACAAAAGCCTGACGGTGAATAATAAAAACTGAAAAACTGATGCATGTGAATAATGGTGTTGTTGGAGAATATTGAATATATCCGAAGTTCCAGAAGCATGAACAGGCATATCCTGGAAGAAGCACAGCTATAATATTCCTTGGAAGTTTGACAAGACTTCATTTCACATCCTTTGAACATAATGTTAGGAGGCACCAGTAACTAAAGAAGGACATCATCCTTAGTAAAGTAGAAGGTTTGCCAAAAAAAAAAAAAGACTTCAACAAGGTAACTGGGATAATGACTCAATAATGGACTGAAATGTAGTCATGTTTGTGAAGATGCCACAGGATTGGATAATGTTTCATTCTGTTGTATATAAAGTCACTCTATATACTGCACCCAACAACATCAGTGTTGCTAGTTAACACTACAGGATTCCAGGCCTTTCATAGCACTGTAATTCTACAAGGAATTGTTTAAGGTTGAGATTCTACCCCACATCCTTGGAATGTATTACAGTTGAAATGTAGATTAAAAGAATACCATAATGCTGCTAGTGCTATTAATTTCTCTCTTTTGATCAAGATATAATTCAGAAACAATCCAAAAAAGTAGTTTTAAAGTCACATGACTGGCTAAAAATATAGATTTGACTATATGCTTGTTTTCATATATTGGAACAGGTTTTTACATGTAATGGAGTCTTTTATTGAGAACTTTTCAGAATAGTAGAAGCTCTGATTTTCTAAAAGACCCCTGATTTTATAGGCATATTGAGTTTAGTGTATTTATTTTATGAATGCCTTTAAAATAATAAATGCCAGCCTTTTATTTCAAGGGTGAACAATAACACACACATTGAATATATTTCCAAATACTATATAAGTTGGATAGAGCTTAACTTGTAATATTTCGTCTGTATATCTTGCTCTTGAAGCAGTTAAATTTAGTTCATCTTAAATCTTCTGATTCTTATTTGTATTCACAATATCATTATATTTGTAGGCATTTATTTACTCTCTCTTCTCATGTGCTTTCCTTTTAACTTGTTGTTGTTGTTAGTTACTGTCAGCTCATAGCCACCACATCCTGGTACAAGAGAATGAAACATTGCCTGGTCCTGCATTGTCCTCACAAATGTTCTTATGTTTTCTTTTCTACTGCCATCATTGATTCTAGTTCTAGTTGCCTATTTAGTAGTCATGTAACTATGTCTTTCTTTTACCAGTCCATTCTTTTAGCTGTACCCCGAATTACCTAAGTAAAACACACATTCAGTTGGGTTTTTTTTTGTTTTTTGTTTTTGCCATCTTTCCCAAGACCTTTGGAATTAAGTAAAAGTTCCTTAGCATAGCATCCCTGGGCCACTCTCCCTACCTGTTGCCATGAATTGAATTGTAGCCCCCTAACCTAGGTGTCAACTCAGCATGATTTTTAGTGGTTTGGCAGTTGTGCGATGATGTGATCATTCCCAAGATATAATCTGATGTGCTCAACTGAACAATTGTAAGGAGCATGTATATTATGCAACACCCTTACTCAAGTTACACCGTGATTCAATGTAAGGGGACTTTCCCTGAGGTGTGGCCTGCATTGCCTTTTATCTTTCAAGAAATAAAAGGAGAGATGAGTGAGCAGAAGTCACAAGGGCCTGACTACCACCAGGAAAGAACCAGAAATTTAACATTATCCTTTGGATTCAAAGTTACTGCACTGAAAACATCCTAGACTGGAAGGAATATTGCTTTAAAGACACATATCGATCCCTAAGGAATGTTCCTCCCGAAGATATTGAAAGGAGACAAGAATTTTTTCCCAGGTCTGACAGAAAGCATTTGCCTACAGCTGTTGTTTCAAATTTGGACATCTAGCCTCCGAAGCTATGAGAGAATAAATTTCTGCTTATTAAAGCTATCTACTTGTAGTATAAGGATAAGTAAAAAAATAGTGCTACAAAATCACAGAACCTATCATGAAAAATATCAGCATGTGAAGTTATTGTTCCTCAACAGCTCCAGCTAGGTCTGTGATAATTAGGGTTAGTGTCAGCTTGTTTGGGCCAAGATCCTTAGTAGTTTGGCAATTGAGTCCACCCCCATGATGTGATCTAATATAATGTAATCAACTCCACAATGGAACCTGCTGTGAACTGCCAAGCAGTTGTGGGAAGAGTAGGTTGGGGTGCAATTGAAAAGAAGTTTCCTCAAGTGTATGTGCCCTACCCCTATTTAAAAAGATTGTGGGACGGTTTGGGTTCTCTTGCTGACCTGGATCCTGTATCTGTCACATTGACCTCTGTTTCTCTGGACTTGTGCCAAAGTCCCACCATATTGTCTACCAACCTTGGATTCATTTGACTCTGCTGCCAGGAGCCTGACTTGCTGACCTTGGTTTCATCCATCTTTACCTCCACCAGCCTGTTGTCTTTCTACTTACTGGTTAGTTTTCCTGCTTCTTGGTTCTGGAGAAGCAAAACATGTGACCCACAAACTTGAACCATAGTAGTCTTACCCACTTCTATGACTATATGAGCTATTTATTTACATATAATTATGTGTGTGTAATATTACCAAGATACATGTGTGAGTGTGTGTGTGTGTGTGTGTGTGTGCCTCACTGGTTTTGCTTCTCTAGAGAACCCAGCCTAACAAGTTCTGCATTTTGACCTTTCACCCAAAGAATTCTTCATACTCCAGTTTATACCACAGCGAAATGGCAGTTTTGGCATCCTCAAGGGACTCAAATTGTGTTCCTTTTCAGTGTTCAGAGTTTGAATTTGGGGAACAAAAAGACAGATAGCCCTAGCTACCTTCCAAGAATGCGTGGGTACATCATGGTAATGGGGAAAAAATTCTTAGTGGAATGCTTTTGCCTTTTTCTCACTGATGCACCAATGCAGTGTTCTATTTTCTTAAAACTACTTAATAATCTCCCTTGATCATTCTATGCCCTTTGAGAAAGTTTTTCAAAAACATCCCTGTAGGATCCCAGAATACAGTCACCATAATCTTCTGAACTCATGCTTTGAATTGAACTGGCCCAGCAGATCCCCTTGGGAGCCACTGTTTTAGTTGGACCTTGCCCTCTGGATCATATTGGTCAATCCAAGACATATCTCCAGTTATGATTTACTCCATAAAATTTTCTTCATTAGCTTCAATATTGGTGTAGAAGACTAGTGAAAGTGTTTGATTGCCATGATATATAACGAAGATGTAATTATACCAAAGCCATGTGAAATACATAAAGGAAAACAAGAGTGAATGATGGGGAAATGGTATCGAAACCTTTCCAGATAAAGATCTCCCTTGATTTATGGCTCCTAAGGCCAGATAAGGTTTATTAATAAAAACCCATATAATACATGAATGCTTCTTAGGAAAAAGAACCTGAAAGCTCCATTTTCCAAGTTCCTCCAAGATTTGGGGGATGCAGAGAGATAGAAATGTTAATTGCAATGAGATAAAAGTACAAGGAGTCATACTTATCTTCCTTGGGGAAATTATTAATTTAAGGTTTATGTTTTTTGGGGAAATGAAAAGGTAAAAATTTAGAGGAATTGTGCTTCTTTATCATATATGTGAGCTTTTAACAATCATTTAACATGTAATATTTATCCAAATATAGGTGGATTTTGCAAACCGTTTTGTTGGAGGTGGTGTGACCAGTGCAGGACTTGTGCAGGAAGAAATTCGATTTTTAATTAATCCTGAATTGATTGTATCACGTCTCTTCACTGAAGTGCTGGATCACAATGAATGTCTTATTATCACAGGTTAGTTTGGGAAAATCTGGACAATGTATTAGATTTCCCCATTCAGATATGGCATTTCTCGAACAAGAACATTAGTCTCAGTGTTTTCATTTATTGATTTATATTTGTATTATGAAATTGTTATAATTGTTTTTTTAACCTAATTTTAAGAGGCATGTACTTCTTTTTCTTTGGATTCTCCCCTTCCCCTTTGGATTCTTATCAGAGTAACATGGATTAAAAATTATTCTACTACCCTTATGTTTAAAATTTTGTGCTCCTCAAAAGAAGATAGTGGTGTGTCTTTAGGTATATATATTTTTTCTTGGTTTGTATTTTGAAGTCATTTGTTAACACTTCAATATGAAGATACTGTACAACTTTGAAATGCACAATTAAAGTACTTGGAAAAGTCAATACAACAGTAAGCTTTATAGAACAGGTCTTATGTCATTAATGTTCAGTGCATCATATCTGTTCTGGAGATGTTCTAAAATGTCGGATGGGATATACTCAAGATTGTAGTATGGCTTTCATGGATTTATTTCAGTTTCATTAGCTTCAGTATGAACTTATATGTGAGAAAGTGATGAGCTGTTCCACAGCTAGCCCCTATCCTGGGTTTAGCTGCTAAGATTGAGCTTCCCCATGGTCTCTCTCCACAGATACAGTCAATTGGATTTCTGTGTATTCAATCTTGAGAATTCCATGTGTACAGTTGCCATTTGTGATGGTGAAAAAGGGATTTGGGATAAAGAAATCATTGGTCCTGTGAAATTTTATCATGTTATCTCCAATTGTTTTTCCATCACCAAGGGCTTGTTGGTGATGGAAAACATCCCACTGTTATTTCTTCCTCTTTGCTTCCAACTTTTGTATTCCTATCACCAATAATTATCCATGCACCTTGATTCATGTTGCTCAATTTCAGACTACAGTTGTTGGTAGAGTTCTTCAATTTCTTCATCACTAGTTTAGTGGTTGGTGCATAACTTTGAATAATAGTTGTATTGACTGGATTTCCTTCTAAGGAGATCAGTATTATCTTATCACTGAAAGCATTGTACTTCAAGATAGGTCTTGAAATGTTGTATTTGACAGTGAAACATCAAGAGAAGATGGAATGGAAAAAATACACAGTCACTGAACCAAAAAGAACTAGTCAACAGTCAACTGTTTCAGGAGTAATGAGCAAGAACCAAGGGTGCACAAGGAAGTTCAAACTGCACCGAATGCACTAGCCAAAAGCAAGGCTGCAGGAATTGACTGAATACCCAATGAAATATTTGAGAAAGCTGAAGAAGCACTGGAAGCACTCACTCGTCTATGCGAGCAAATTTGGAAGACAGCTATCTGGCCAACTGACTGGAAGAGATCCACATTTGTGCCCATTCCAAAAAAAGGTGACTCAACAGAATGCTCCAACTATAGAACAATATCGTTGATGTATCACACTAGTAAAATTTTGCCTAAGATCACTCAGTGGTTGTAGTAGTACATTAACAGGGAACTGCCAGAAGTTTTGGCCAGATTTAGAAGTGCATATGGAACAAGGGATATCATTGCTGGTGTCATATGGATCTTGGCTGAAAGCAGAGAATACTACAAAGATGTTTACTTGTGTTTCATTGGCTATACCAAGGCATTTGACTGTGTGGACCATAATAAACTGGATAACCTTGAGAAGAATGGGAATTCCAGAACGTTTCATTGTGCTTATGAGGATCTTGTACATGGATCAAGAGGCAGTTGTGCAAACAGAACAAGGAAATACTGTAGGGTTTAAAATCAGGAATGGTTGTGTCAGGATTGTATCCTCTCACCATACTTGTTCAATCTATAAACAAGAAATCATCAGAAAAACTGGATAATATGAAAAGAATGTGGCATCATGATTGGAGGAAGGTTTATTGACAACCTGCGTATGCAGATGACACAGTCATGCTTGCTGAAGATGAAAGGATTTGAAGCACTTGAAGAAGATCAAGAATTAGCACCTTCAGTATAGATTAAGACTCAATGTAAGGAAGACCAAAATCCTCACAACTGGACCAATCTTGGGTAACATCATGATAAATGGAAGACTGAGGTTGTCAAAGATTTTGTCTTACTTGGATCCACAATCATTGCTCATGGAAGCAGCAGTCAAGAGATCAGAATCTGCTGTATTGAAAAGCAAGGATGTTACTTTGAAGACTAACCTGCGCCTGACACAAGCCATGGAATTTTTTTTTAAATCACTTTATTAGGGGCTCATACAACTCTTTTCACAATCCGTACATACATCATTTGTGTCCAGCACATTTGTACATATGTTGCCATCATCATTCTCAAAACACCTGCTTTCTAATTGAGCCCTTGGTATCAGCTCCTCATTTTTCCCCCTCCCTCCCCGCTCCCCGCTTCCCCTGAACCCTTGATAATTTATAAATTATTATTATATACACCATCCGACGTCTCCCTCACCCACTTCTCCGCTGTCCGTCTCCCAGGGAGGAGGTTATATGTAGACCTTGTCATCTGCTCCCCCTTTCTCCCTCACCTTCCCTCCACCCTCCCGATATTGCCACCCTCACCATTGATCCTGAGAGGCTTATCTGTCCTGGATTCCCTGTATTTCCAGTTCCTATCTGTGCCAGTGTACATCCTCTGGTCCAGCGGATATGTAACATAGAATTAGGATCATGATAGTGGGCGAGAGGAAGCATTTAAGAACTAGAAGAAAATTGTATATTTTATCCTTGCTACACTGCACTTTGACTGGCTCGTCACCTCCCCGCAGCCCTTCTAGGCCATGGAATTTTTGATTGCCTCATATGTATATGGAAATTGGACATTGAATAAAGAATACTGAAGAAGAATTGATGCATTTGAATTGTGATCCTGATGAAAAATAATTGAAAGTACCATGGACTGCTAAGAGGACAATCTGTTTTAGAAGAAGTATAGCCAGAGTGCTCCATAGAGGAAAGGATGGCGAGACTTTTTCTTATATACTTTGGACATGTTGTCAGGAGAGACCAGTCCTTGGAGCAGGACATCATGCTTAATAACATGAGGTGCAGTCAAAGAAGAGAAGGTCCTCAATGAGGTGTATTGACACTGTAGCTGCAACAATGGCCTCACAATCATTGTGAGGATGGTACAGTACCATACAGTGTTTTGTTCTGTTGTGCATAGTGTTGCTATGAGTCGGAACAGAATCAGTGACATCTAACAACAATGTTGAGTTTTTTGAATTTTCATACTACTCTAAGGAGCTTGAAAGATCTGAAATAATGACTGTTCCCATTATTTGGATATATCCAGTATGACTTTTAAATGTTTATCTGTGTATAAAGGATAAAAAAACAGCGGAAATTTGAAAGTTTCCTTAGGGGCAATAGTTTGTGTTAGTTGGGGATGAATAACTTAAAAACTTAGAGCGAGAATGTTTACACAACTCATAGAATGTAATCAATGTCACTGAATTGTAGTTATAGAAACAGTTGAATAGTGGTGTGTGTTTTGCTATATACTCATAGCAGCAATTTTAATAAAATTGAAATGTTTTAATGTTAGCTGTTAAGCTAAACTTGAACTGAAGATTCAGGACCAAAATATATCATCAATTTTTAAAAGTTGTACCTAATATGTTTTATGTGCTCTTACACTAGTAAAGTAGTAGGTCTCATCATCTGCCATGAATGTTGCTATAAATAAAAGCTATCATTTCCTCCTCGAACATTATAATAATAATAATTATTATTATTTTTACAATAGTTTACCCCCAGACTAAAATACCTCTGAGCTTATATCTCATCTCAAACCTACTTGCAGCCTTTGTAAAACAAATGGAAAATTGCAGATCCATGACGCACCTTCAGATTTGTAGTTACCTCAGGGTAAGGACATTTAGGGTGACTGTTAACACAGCATTTAAAAAATCCATTTAACTTTTATTATAGTACTCCTAATTAATATCTGTGATGTGCTGTTCCCTTAATGGAAATGGCCATTTCATCATCTATTTGATGTCTGGATTTCTGCCATGTCCTTTCTTAAGAGACTCTTAACCGCGCACTGCAATCTGTCTGCTTCATCAGTTCCATTCCTTCAATGGTGCATCCAAGATCAGTGAGCTAATAGCTAATGGTGAGTGTTCTGCTTGGAATCTGTAGAATCATTTGAGAAATTGGAAATAAGTTAAATTTATCATCATTGTAAAGCATCTGCTTGGTATCAGATTTTTAACTAAGTATGAAACAGGTCATACAAACAGATAAAGTACTTTTATCCAGACAGCATTGTTTCTCTGTTTATTGTGATTCTCCTTGTGGTAACCACCATGAGTTAAACCCATTTAGGAACTACACATAGATAACAAAACTCTCACTTCGCTTTTCATTTTTTCTTCAACATCCAGCAAATGGTATTACAATTGCTCTGGGTAGCTGTTTTGCTGTTTCTGTTTGGTGAATATACACAAGCATAAGATTTGTACTGAACAGTGTTAGTATTCTGAACATGAAACTTGTCTTCTAATGAATCAGATCACACCAGGTAGCATAGATACTTGCATCTTTTCTGAGTGTTAGTAGAAATTACTCTAAGTGAACACTTACAAGACTGGTTCCACAATTTTCAACACTAGAAGTGTTGCTGACTGATAAAGAGGTCTGGGGCTGCCTGTCACTGTTCAGCCAAAGACAGAGACCAGGTTGATTTGAGAAATTCTGAGTTTATATCTACAAGCACTGGCAGAAAGAAACAGTGAGATTTGCTACCTCCAAACTGCTTTGAAGATTCAGTGAAAATCAAACAAGTTAAATTCCTTAATCTATGTGACAGGCTCAGGGGCAAATAATTAACAACTTTTGAAGATGATCAAATTATGGGACAAAGGGAGCAAGGCTCACAGGAGAACAGTCAACCTTTCGCCAAGGAGCTATTATATCTTGGGTCCCTTTTAACAAACTAAATCTCAGTAACCTGAATCCCAGAATTTGTTGTTGTTGCTTGAGGTGCCATATAGTCATCTC